TGAAACCGGCCTGGCTCAATGGGTAGAACATCGGCTTGGGGACCAAAAGGTCCCAGGTTCGATTCTGGTCAAGGGCATGTACCTTGGTTGCGAGCATATCCCCAGTAGGGGGTGTGCAAGAGGCAGCTGATTGATGACTCTCTCTCATCAATGCTTCTAGCTTTCTATCTCTCTCCCTTTCTCTCTGTACAAAATCAATAAAATATATATTTTTTTTAAATTTCATGGCCCATGCGCAGAAGTCAAAAAAAAATTTCAGTCGTAGTACTGTTGATTATTTGGCTCTTGTAATACCAGAAAGGTGCTTTGACTATTGAGTTTGCCAACCACTGGTTTAGACAGATGAATCAATATTCTCAAAATAGTTCACATTTAAGATAGTGTGTTAATTTTCCTTCTTTATATATATATATATATACACACACATACTGGAGGCTCGACGCACAAAATTCATGCAAGAGTAGGCCTTTCTTCCCCCAACTGCCAGCACCAGCTTCCCTCCGGCACCCGGGACCCAAGCTTCCCTTGAAGCCCCAGCTTCATCAGGAAGGACGGAAGGACATCCGGTCTAATTAGCATATTACACTCTTATTATTATAGATACATATATATCAGAGAGGAAGGGAATGGGAGAGAGAGATAGACACATCAATGAGAGAACCATTGATCGGCTGCTTCCTGCATGGCCTCCACTGGGGACTGAGCCTGCAACCTGGGCATGTTTTTCTATCAGAAATCAAACTGTGGCCGGGACCGGTTTGGCTCAATGGATAGAGCGTCGGCTTGGGGACTGAAAGGTCCCGGGTTCGATTCCGGTCAAGGGCATGTACCTTGGTTGCGGGCATGTCCCCAGTAGGGGGTGTGCAAGAGGCAGCTGATCGATGACTCTCTCTCATGGATGTTTCTAACTCTCTATCTCTCTCCCTTCCTCTCTGTACAAAATCAATAAAATATATTTAAAAAAAAAAAAAAAAAAAAAAAAAGAAATCAAACTGTGACTGCCTAGTTCATAGGGCAACACTCAACCACTGAGCCACACGCTGGGCTAAGATAGTGTGCTAATTTTCAAAATACATACACATTTGACTTTACTGCCCCTCAATCAATTTCAGAAGTCAAATAACTCTCTTCCTTTTCTAATTTTGGCGATCTCAATCTTTTAAGAACTAGCTTACACTACACAAAACAGATGATGGTTTATCTTAACCAACATCATAGGTCTCCTGATCTCTGTGACTTCCATTTGAACTACACGTGCAGATTTTATTTATAATTGTGCTTGTGGTCAATGTATTAAAAAAAAAGAGCAATCTTATCCCAAACGTAGGAGGTTCAAAAGACTTCTCTTTGCCCCAAACCCTGATTATGTTTCCATACTAATCATCTTTAAGACAATTTTTAAATAAGGCAGGTATAATTTCATTCTTAAAAGCTTACTTTCATTTTTGATTGAAAAAAACATTCATGAGTTGGATAAATGTTTTCTCAAAAGGCTAAGACTAGATCACTGAGATCGTCCTGAAATTTAAATTAGCTATTATAGTAGTTCTCAAGGGAAATCCCACAACCACTGAGAAAAAGGAATTAAGATACACAATAAAAAGAATGTCTCTTCATGGTATAAAGAGTCAATTCCTTATTTGGTCCACATATTGAAAGAGAGTGGAACTCAGAACTTCTGGCTCTACACCTAGGGCTGGGAATCAAAGTCTTTATATACTCCACACTTCACCCTCCATATGTCCCAAACCTGATCTCTGGAACAGATCGTCTAAAACAGAAGTCAGACTAAGACATGGAGGCCAAATCTAGTCCATTGCCTGTTTTTGTAGAATCCATGAACTTAGAATGTTTTTTACATTTTTAAATTATTTTTTAAAAAAGAATATTTTATGCCATGTAAAAATTACATGAAATTTGAATTTTACTGTCCATTAAGTTTTATTGGAACACAGTGCTCATCCATTTAGTTATTGTTTCTAGTTACTGAGCTTAGTAGTTAAAACAAAGACTTCCTGGCCTGCAAGATTTAAAACATTAACTATTGGGCCCTTTACATAAAGTTTATGGACCCCTGAACTAAAGGATGCTTTTCTTTTTGTGAAAGCTACTTAAGTTCTTAACCTGAGTCAGTCAAAACTCTACTTTCCCCAATTCTAGCTGCTGGTAATACAGGGAGTAAATTTACTGTATCTTTCAACTAACAGTAGATCTCCCAATTTTCGAAGGCTAATAGCTGATGTTCCACCCTAACTTGTCTAAATCCTGATCCCTTATTTTTTATTCACAAAGCATAATTACAATTACCATTAAATTAAAATAACCTTTACTAAGGATCCATTACCATATACCAGGCACCATTCTAAGTGTTGGAGATCACACTTCTTTTTAGGTGAGAAAACAACAGCTTAGCAACCAGGTAACTAATTTGTCCAAGTTCACATAGCTACTGCAGATCTCTGCTCTTACCATATACCACATTACCTCAAAAAAGCAAGACTGAACTTCCTCTTTTGTCTCAATATATTCTTCTAGAATGCTGGAATCTGAGGCCAAACGTGAAAATTCTACTTCAATTTAGGCAAAATTGGACAAAACTAGGCAACTAATGTCCCATGACTGGATACTAACTAAAGTACCTTGTGCTCTCCCCAGCCTTGTCAGCTTGTCAGCCTGTAGTGTTCGTTTACAACTGCCTACCAGTTCTGCCTCACAAATAATACTGCCTTGATTTAAAAATATACAATCATATCTTTAGAAAACAAAAACCAGGCCTCAGAGATGCATGTTAGATCAGTTAAAATAATAACCATCACTTACTGAGTATTTCCTATGGGAATTGTAGGGCATGCTTTATATGTTTTTTTCATTTAAACTTCACAGCTTTGGGAGATAAACATGGATTCCAATTTTACAGATGAGGAAACTAAACTTTAAAGGTTAATTTACCCAAGATGACAGGGTTGAGATTCAGTAACTATGTTCTGACTCCAAATCCAGGCTCTTAACCACTATGCTGAACTTTCAAATATCAACTTTCAATCATAATATGGTCAGTGTTGCCTACAAGTAAAGAAAACTTACAAAATGTACCATGAAAAGATATGCCCACTATATTATTTACTTTACTTTAACTTCAATTATTCTCCTGTAACTTTCTCAAAACTAAGACAAAAAACAGAATCAAAAATTCAATAAAGTATAGGTGTATCATTCCTTTGCAATGCACTTATTTCTTCCACAATAGATTTTTTTTGAAGGTATAAGCCATTCTCATACCCTTGTTCCTATGAAACCTGTGTGACAGACATTCAATAAACATGCTGAATGAACAGAAACTGTTCAAATATTTCTTATAAATGAATTCTGCCAGGAAAGTAGTGAGTAGAAGATATACAGAAGCAGCAAAGAAAAAAATTAAAAGCAATTCCTTATACACTAGTGATAAATGTAGTTTTCAGGATCGTTTTTATACACATAAGATACAACTTATGTATAAGGTGCCACCTTATGGAATGAACTAAGTGTGCATTTATAATCACAAAATGAAGAGTGAACTCAAGGCTAAACTATTAAAGAATAATCTAATGGAGAAACCAAAACCCCTCACATTTTCATACTGTGTACTTTCCCAACTGTATGTCTTAACCTGGAAGATCTGCATCTTAGCCTCTAATTCTAGAATTTCCCCATACACAACACTTTCTTTCCTGGAAGGGAAGCTTGAGAATAAGGAGTGTTTTTTCCCTTTACATACCCACATGATCCAAGATAGTATCTTGAATACAGTACGGTTGAACTGTATAAAGTGGTTGAACAGAATGGAACATTTTCAGGTGCCAGCTAAGGTACACTGACCATATACAATTTAAGGGGAGGTAACAACCTCACCATTAATTCTATAGAAGGCAGCCTCCGCCTAAAACTTTTGCAGACACTTGCTTTTTAAAAAAACAACAAAAAGTTGTTAGAAGGCTATCACTGTTGGCAACAGAGCTCCAATCTGTGGCATTATATGCCCACAAGAGAAGACACCTCAGAGGGCTCATCTAGTACTTATATGAAGGGTTGGTACACAGGGGCCCAGGGGCTCTACTTGTTATAGACGCTTACTTAGGTCCCTACACACATCGCAAAGGTGAATACAGAGTTCCATAAGTTCTAAGTCTCTAATGAACATATATTTACAAATACATATGAAACTGAAGACATTTATCCAGAAGAACTGAAAGTCTTCTAAGCTCCTGTAGTCCCAGGAAGTCTACTTTGAAATACGTCAAGAAGTTATATTGAGGTATACAAAGTATGTCTAAAAGATCCAAACTGATAACTCCAAAACTTTGTCGTTGAAGCTGACAAAACTGCCCTAAAACTAAGAGTTCTGAGTGTGCCCTTTCTTACTTTCAACGCTGCGACGCCAATGAATGATGATATATCAGCGTTAAATTTAAATTTCCTGACTCCGGCCACAATGCTAACCTAATTAAAGCATGTGGTCAACGTTTAGCATTTTCGGTGCGATATTTTGCATCGCTCTGACTAGAAGCAGAGTTGAAAGACAGTTGCGCTCTTCCTCGTGCCCCCCAAAGCCAGAGGCAAAAGCCCTCACACCGAAACGCCTTATTAAATGGACAGGAACAGCACCCCCGCGCCCCTCTCAGACCCCGCCGGGCGGCGGCGGGGCTTCACGCCGACCGCCCTCGCCGAGAACTTTGGGCTCCGTCTGAGCGAGTCACTCGCGCGAGCGCCACTTCCCCGCGGCCGGGACCCCCCACCCCCAGGAGCCTGACAACTCCCGGGAGCCCCTCCACGCCCGACGCGTGGCCCCGGCTCCCCTCGCACCCATTTCCCGTCCGGCCAACTGCTGCCGGGGGAGGGGGCGGGCAGCGCGGGGGGCGCCGGGGGCAGAGCCGGCCGTCGGGGTGGACGCGGCCGGGCAGGGGCGGCGCGGGGCGGCGGGCGAGGGCGGCCCGAGGGTCCGGGAGGGGGAGGGGAGATACCTCGTACAGCTCCTCGGAAGCCATGGTGGGCAGTGGAGTTGCGGGCAGGCGGGAGGGGCAGGGTTGGGGCGAGGCGCCGCCGCCTGGCGGCCGACACTTTGTTTCAGTTGGGTCCCTGCGTGGCCTGCGCTTCCTGCTCCGCTCCGCGCCGGGGCCCCGCAGGCGCCTCTCGCACTCGCGGCCGGAGCGGGCCGGCGCCGCGGCGGGGTGTGCGCAGGAGCAGCTGCGCAACGCGCCCTCGCGCCCCGCGCTCACTCCCCGGCGGGCCGGCTGGGGCTCGGGCTCATCGCGCCCGCCGCGGGGCCGGGCCGGGCTGGGGCAGGCGCAGCGGCGGTGCGCGGCTCCGTGGCTCCCCCTCTCCGGTGTAGTGCAAAAATCTTCCTACTTGCGACCAAAAAAAAAAAAAAAAAAAAAAGACCGGCCCCGGCTACTGGGCATGCTCAGTGCGGTCGCGGGGCTGGCGGAGCCCCACTCCCGCGCTCCGGGTTTTCAGACCGCCCTCGCGGGAGAGGCGGGGAGGCCGGCGGGGCGGGGCGCCTGAGGGGAGCGGTGGGCTCCCTCCCGGCTGAGGTGGGCGGGTGGGCCGGGGGAGCAGCCGGCAGGAAGGGGCGTGGCGTGTGGGCGGGGCCGCGGCGAGGCGTGGGCGGGGCCGCCGGGCGGTGGGCGGGGCTCCGGTTCGCCCAAGTCCCCTCGCGGAGGTCGGACCCGGCCGGACGCCGCCCACCAGGCCGCCTCGACGTGGGTGCCGAGTGCCAGGCCCCGGGCCCAGTGGGCCAGGCATCTGCGGCCCGAAGTTGAATCGGGGGCCTGGGGTCGAGGTGGCTGGCGTCCGGAGCCCGCTGCTCCGACGGCAGGGGCCGAGCGACAAATGCCGGACTCCCCTCCTGGGAGGCGCAGAGCTCCTGCCGGCGTGCGCCCACCCCAGCTCCCGTCGGGTCCAGACCGGCCGGCGGTTGACAGGCCGCGTGGCCAGGTGAGGCACCCCCACCCGAGCACGTGTCCGCCTCCCTCGCGGCAGCCGCCAAGACGCGGAGCTGGAGCACGTGCCCGCCGAGGTGCCCGGCACACTTCGGGCGCGCTCGCCCGGCCGCCGGCCTGAAGTGGGAGCCCGGCCCCGGCGAGGCGAGGGCGGTGCGAGGGCGCGGCCGCATCAGCGCTGCCCGCAGTTTCCCCCCCTCCGGCCTCCCAGTTCCTCTTGGACCTCCCACCATCTCCCAAGAGAAGTCGGGATCTGGACTCCGGGAGGTCTGGGTTCTACATGATGGAATCACACGGTGGTTCTCTTTGGGGGAAGCGGTGTGTACAACTAGCTACACGACAGGATCTCTCGGCCGGAACAGCCATGAGCCGGCCCTTCCTCTGCTTCCCACGGGAAAGGGGCAAACGGGGGGCGGCCTGCGAGGCCAGTCCCCAGGGCACACCTGCCGGGGAAACTGGACGTTTCCCCATCCGGGCGGGTGAGGAAGGGACTAGCCGGCCCGACTCTTCCGAACAGCAACTCCACAGCTTCCGGCTGAAGCAACGGAACTTCGCGGGGCAGCGCAGAGACAGTTCACACTCTCCCACCGCCCTACACCTGGAAACCACCATCATCAAATCCTACATTCTCCCAATACACCCAGTTCCTAACCGACCTCCTACTCACCAGGCTCCTCCACCAGTTTTCTTCCTAAAACCTCATTCGGTAGTGCCCCAAAATACAGTTGAACTACAAGGCTTTTCACAGACCCCGCTGGGTATCTGCCCTTCTCACGCCCAGGAACGAACGCAACACTTGTTCTTTAGTCACTTCAAGTCGAATCACCATTTTCTTCATGCCGGTGCCTCTACCTGCAATTCCCTTAGCCACCTTAAACTCCAGCTCCAACAGCACCTAAAAAAAAAAAAAATCTCCTCTGACTTCCAGGGCAAAAAGAGTTACTCCCTCTCCAGCGGCTCCTGAACACTCAGGCTGCTTCCCTGCAGCACTTACCTCTGTGTTTTAGCTCTTTTGTCCACTCTTCTCTCCCACGTTCATTTCAAGACTATGACCTCACAGATCCCATCTTCACAGTTGACTCTCCAGCCCTGGCATCGTTCTCTACATACAAAATATGTTCTTGTTCAATAAATTGGAATTCCAATGCTCTAAATAAAGCCCGATACGCACACATCCAATCCCCATTATCAAATGCTTTTACAACAGAATCACAAAGTCCCCACCACTTTTGCCAAGGCTCTTTCAAATTCTGCCTCTTTTCCTGATGGCCCAGCCAATTACCTCTCTCTCCTCCAAAACATTAGCGCCTCTATCCTCTGACTTAATTTCATTATTTGCTGCATTTGGTAATTGTCTCTAGAGTCTAGACACACAAATTCATGAACATAAGTTGTAAGCTCCTTGAAGGCAAGGACTGGTACTTAATCAGCCAAGTCTCAAAACAGAGCACTCTACTAAAAAATAAAGGGTAGATGTGTTCGTTTGTTTTTAATTACACAAGTGCAATAAAAATATTTTTAAAAGGGATCCTCAACCTAAAATGGACAGGCATATCTCACATATAAACCTATATATAATGATATAAAAATATATATGTATTATTTTTCTCATGGCCACCAAAAGTATAGAATTTAAGCATTCGCAAGTTGCTCCACTGTGTGCTTAATGGACTGGAATGTTAAATATATCATCTCTAAAGTCTCCAATACTACCATTGTTACCAAGGGAAGGAGGAAGAAACAAGGGTAGAAAAGTCCCTACAACAATATTTATTAAGCTAGTACATTTGAGATAGATACAATCCTAAGGTAAGTTGCCCTTCCCCAATGTGGAAAAAAAGGGGCGAGGGAGGGAATTAGAGCCTAAAAAAGTTAACTCCAAAAAATCAATTTACTCGGACCTTTAACCCTGATGCTTATTTATGATGCTATGATTATTCATCAACATTATAAGAGTATCTACAGAGTTGGGTCACCTCCATAACAAAGCAAGAGTACACTATTCTCCTAAGCTCACCTCCAACTATCTCTCTTCAATAATTAGTTGGTTTCCATCTTAATTAAGAACACCGGTCGAGGAGACTAGTACTAAGTACACATTAGTGACTCAGATATTGATCAAGTCCACTTTGCCCTCCACCTGAAACCCCAGTTTTATTGAATGCAGTTTTGATTGTTTATATTTTACTTCATTATTTCAATTTGTCTTTTAAGCAAATTCTTTCTTCCCCCATTTTTTTTTTATATAAACAGCATTTTATCAGTGCTCATTCTAGAAATACGTCCAATATTACTTAATGGCTTTAAATTTATGCCAACTTTTAAAATAGTGAAATTTTGCAGTAGTTACCACAACCACGTGTGTGGGTCCTGTGAGAGTACTTCTTTCAGGAATCTGAGAATACAAGTGAAATCACATACCCTTAAACACATCAAGATAGAAGTCTGCATTGTACCAAAAATACATGAAACACGATAATATGTACTAGTAAAATCCATGGATCTTAAAGATTATCAAAGTAGTCAACAAGCAAGATGATGTCCACATGTGATTAAAATACTATACATCTACGAGCAGTAAGCTTCAACTCTTACCTGTTGTAAGCCCATGGTGGAGACCAACATAAACCAGTTTATTCCTTTTCCAAATTGATCTGAATGATTGGTAGTTGAAAATCGGTACCATTCAAGATAAGACTTTTCAAATCAGAAGTCAAAGCTGTTTCCAACTTGGCAGGACAAGAACTAATATTTTAAATTAAAAGTTCTCCCCTTTACTCAGACAACAGTCCAATCGGTTGCAGTTTCCATTATCCCAAGAATCTGCATTTCATCTACATTTGAATTCAAAGGCCCAGGAGAGGAGGTGGGGGATGGGACTGGAAAAAGGAAAGGATTCAAAGTCTAGCAACTACTACTCTCAGAGCCAAAGGCATTTTGAGGTTGAATGGCTGTGAAAAAGCTGCTGATAGTGATTTCCTTGATCAATTTTGTACCCCGAAAGCATAATCTAGTCTGGCTACCTTCTGCAAAATCCAAAATTTAACTTAGTTTTTAATGAAAGAAAAGTGACCTAAGTTTTTTGTGTGTGCAAATTGTGGCCAAAGAGAAATTAAATACCATTCTTGTTATAGAGTATCCACTCCACAAAATTCGAGGAAATTCCTACCTCAATCACGTATTCAAAAGAAAGTAAGAAAATGTTAAAAAAAAAAAAAAAAAATGTTAAGAGAAACATAGAGAACCAATCATAAAATGAATTCAGATTCTAGGGCCTTTTTTGAACTTGGAGCCAACCACCTTTTCCTTCCCAGAAAGCGTAAATTGGGTACCATTGCACTTTTCTTTTCTGGACAACCAATCACCTCTGATTCCTGGTTTTGGCTGCCTCTTCCTTCTCTGGCCAAGTAGTCAATTTCCTCATTTCAACTGGCAGCCTTTCTCTACCTGCATCTGTCTTGGACCCCAGCCTTTATTCTCTCTTTTGTTTAGAAACTAGTACCTAATCCAGCTGCCACACTGCTGTTTCCTGGCCAAATGCCACCATTTATTTAATCTCTTTACCCTAGTGATATCAACTCTGAGACTTCTTCACACTTGAGTTCAGCAATTTCCCCTTAGGCTGAGGCTCCACCATTGCCCAAACCTCATCTACTTACAAATAAGGATAACTAGACTTAGAGTTTAACTGTGGTTCTTTTTTTTTTTTTTTTTTTTTTTTTTAATATATTTTATTGATTTTTTACAGAGAGAAAGGGAGAGGGATAGAGAGCTAGAAACATCGATGAGAGAGAAACATCCGCCAGCTGCCTCCTGCACAACCTCCACCGGGGATGTGCCCGCAACCAAGGTACATGCCCTTGACCGGAATCGAACCTTTGACACCCCCAGTCCACAGACCAATGCTCTATCCACTGAGCCAAATTGGTTTTGGCCTTTTTTTCTATTAATGTTAATTCTAGAAGTTAATTTGGTTAATTCTACCAAAATTGTTTGTAATATATTTTTGTTGTATTTTCTTTTGATTGATGTAATTGATCAAGATG